TCCGACCTGATCCGAATAGTCCGCACCGCGCACGTGTTTGAACTTCCCCGCGTGCGTTCCTGACAGCGTTCGCAGCGCCCTCCCACTGCCCTCCCTTTCCTAATCCCCCTCTCCCCCCTCCCCTCGCTCCTCCAACAGTCGGTACTAAAGATGGCGAACCACTACGAGGTGCCCAACTGGTAAGAGAAAATATATTTTTCAAAGGTTTTATGTCTATTGAGTGTTGGAAAATTTGCACAAACTGTATTCTTTTGTTATTTTTTATTTACGTTGACTAAATTTGCTTCAGTCTTATCTTCGTACCGTACTGAAAACCTAGTATGCCGGTTAGTGCAAGGTTATGTCTTTAGCAGAAGCATTGTTTACATGCTTTAACATCATCTCTTTCCCTAAAATTTAGAGTTCAGATCAATTTAGTGTACTGTCATGACTTGAAATATAACGTTTATTTGCCAGTCCCTTTATTATGGATCTAACAATCCCTCATAGGCACCAAAAAAAGTAATTTTTCTTCACCCATGACTTCAATCTTGCAGTTGTTTTGCTTTTGTGTTGCAGGGCAGGCAAACCTCCTGTAGGTCTTCATTTAGATGTCTTGAAGGTGGACAAACTAGTTCAAGTAAGGCCTGATGTCCAATATCTCTTCTGCCACTAGCTGTGTGTGGTACTTTGTTAACATTTGCCGTTTTCTGTCGACTCTAGAAATTGATGATAGATGAAAAGAAATGTTATTTATTTGGACGGAATCCACAAATGAATGATTTTGTTATCGATCATGCGTCATGTTCAAGAGTTCATTCCGCATTTGTTTACCATAAACATTTGCAAAGAGCATTCCTTGTTGATCTTGGCAGTAGTGAGTACTAGCTTCTCAGTCTTCTTATGCTTGCAATAGAAACATACAATTTATGTGTTCTGTGTTCTGTTTTATCTATACAGCTCATGGAACTTTTATTGGCAACATGCGTATTGATGCCAACAAACCAACCCAATTACCAATTGACAGCATTTTCCACTTTGGAGCATCAACACGTCGTTACATATTAAGAGAAAGACCTCAGACTGGAAGTAGGCCTATAATGGAAGAGTTGGAGCGGTCCTCGGAAGATGTTGAAGGAGAGGGAGGACTTCTTGGCCTTCCTGAGACAGAAACAGAATTGGATGTATGTGCAAGAATTGCTACATGATTCACTTGGCAACAAAAACTTTTTTTATTTGTGGCAAATTTATTATACCTTGTTTATGTATGGCTTAATGTTACAGAACCTCACAGAATTTAACACAGCTCACAACCGACGTATTTCCATGCTTGGAATCCAAGATGATGAAATTAGAAATTCAAGCCGCAAAAGGCGCAAAAAGGGAGTATCATTCAATGAAGATGAAGAGATAATCAATCCTGAAGATGTGGATCCATCTGTTGGAAGATTTCGTAATCTTGTACATACCACAGTTGTGCCAACAAAGGTAACTGTTGGTCTCTTTTCAGTCTATAGTCTACAAACAGTTACTGCTCAACACCTTAATTTTTTAAATCTATTTTTGTTTGCAGCGCCTTAAAACGGGAATGGAGGGACCTCCAAGTATGTCTAGTGAAGAACGACTTCAACTTATGAAACATCTAACACCAGCATCTGTCATGTCCCATTTATACCGTGATTTGCCTCCTGAAACCAACTCATCGTCACATTCTTCTCACCACTCAAGCCATGGTGCACTGCCATTTTCATCAGTTATGGCCTCTAGACTTGGTCTTCCCTTGCCGAACCCTGCACCTGATGTTGACATGTCACAGGAGACTAGCGAAGCAAGTGGTGCAGCATCACTACCTAGTGGTCCTGCTGCTGCTCAGGCAGCAGAAGGAGGTGGGCAAGAGCCAAAGAAGAAGAAATATGCAAAAGAAGCTTGGCCGGGAAAGAAACCAATGCCTGCATTATTGGTTTAACCTTCATTCTATAACTGTATTTTATTTGTTGTGTTTTTACTCTGTATTCAAGATTCATGTATTTCTAGGAGGAAAAGTCAAGGTGCCAGTCACTACTACGCACTACTATCAACTGTGATCTTTGTTCCTCATCCATTGACTTTTCAATGTGTTTCACATTGTTACCTTATAATGTGGATATGCACCTCCTGAAACTATTGCTCATGCCTCGAATGTGTGCAGTCTCTTGTAAATTGTCTGATTTTCTAGAAGATTCATTAATGCGTTAATCAAGAAACATGCCGATTGGGAAGGTCCCTTTTTTTGGTACTGGCGCTGTGTTTTGAGCACACAATTGTTTGGTATCAACAATTTGGTGATATTCATAATTCACTAAAACTACTTTAGACTTGTGGTCTCAACAGTCACTTCTGTGTATATGATGTTTTTTTTCTATCTGTATATAGAATGGGCGAACTATTGTTAGCCAGATATTGTTTTATTTTTGAATCATTTAATGACTTGCTGTTTCAAGTGTGAGTTAAAAAAGGTCTTGGTCGAAATTGTTCAAAACAGTAATCAAGTCAAATGTGTGTTGTGCTTTTGTGGACCTAGGTAAACGTAACTTGACTGAAATCTTACTGAGATTACACTTAGTCCAATAATTTTGTGTATCAGGCACATTTCTTGTCTGTCAGCTGTAACATATGGGTGGCATACAAATTTTATTTTTGTGTTGTACAGTATGTTGTGTGATATGTGCCTACATGGACTTAAAGTTTGTACAAAGTACAAATAAATTCTATGATAATTGAGATCTGTAGGTGTTACTTCACCCACAAAGATAGGAGACAAGAAATCAAATTACTTTTGACAATTTTATTCTATTAGCACATTTATGTTTCTGAAACCGCAGTTCGTTCTTACACTTTTAATCTTTTTGTTTAGTAAATGGAAGACTTGATATTTGTTCTGCAGTCACAATCTTTTTAAAATGGAAGACATAAGCTGTGATTAGATACAGTACATGTGAACACTTGAGGAGATACAATTAAAACAATTAAATTTAAGAATATCCATCAAGAAAGTTGCTTCTCTAACTATCTTCTTAAAGCAAATGCAGCAGAATCTCATATTTTCAAATGATATGGTCATCACGTAACATTGTATGAACAAGTTAGCAGTCTGCTCTCTGGAAGACAATTTTAACCATAATTAGTATTCATCTATGATTATTTAGAAACATATACATCATTCCCTAAATGCTTTGTTTTATAACCAACTCTTAATTTTACCCAAAATATTATAAGGTGCTTTGACCTGTGGAGTTGACATTTTGATCTTACAGACAAACAGAAAGAAAAATAAAGAAAACTGTCGCCGTTAAGTAGAACAGTGTCAGGTTTCTTAATTAACAGAAATTGACTCATTAATAGAGAGAACTAAAGTTATGTAACTTGAAAATTCATCTCACAAAAATTGTCAGTTCTTAGTGGTTGAGAATATTTTCAACACATCTAGAGATTTAAGTTTTGAGTGACTGTAAATGAATTCTTTAATATCTATATAAAATTCACAAGCTAAAAGAAAAAATATAACTAGTCTCTTGTTATAGGCGATGAGGGTCTTGCTTGCACTGCAAAGAATCCTTTGCTCTGAGTGGGTAGTAAATCAGATTTCATTAACTAACCTGCGATATTTGGAATACCCATCATTATTGCTTTTTCACAGTAAGAACTTACTTAACTCATATGAAGTAACACAAAGCTGTGGAGTGTTTTGATGTACAAAACTTTCGTAGAAATCAGATATTTAAAAACGGTTCTCACTGGCCTAACATATTTTTCAATTCTGACTTGTAAAATATATTATACTGGTAAAAGGCATTTTGCCTCAAAACCATGGAAATTGACTGATGTTTTCTTCACGTTTAAATAACAGCAACACCAAATAATATTCTGGTACACCTGAACTACATGCTTTTAAGTAATACTTAGTTTTTGTTACATATCTATAAAAGACAAAATCACATATTATTCCATTTGGAAGACATTTTCTCAGTTATGCAAATGCACAAATTGATATTGTCATAAACAACACATTGATAACACACAACTACAGTACAATAACTCAACTAATTTGTGATAGGATTATAATACATACAAGTAACTGCATAAAATGATCCGCTATTTGCTCAGCAACAAACAATGGCTTTTAAGCCTTGGAAGACATTTGGAATAAAGCTTACAAGTATACATGGTATATAGATCCAAAATTATACTCTGTGATAAACTTATATTAAAATTTAACAAATTATTTCTAACGAAAGTTTTTCAATTTGGAAGACATTGATTTGATGAATAAAATATGCCAGCTGCGCAGTCAAATGCGACAGTATGACTATTTGATCACTTTTCACGTTGTAGTTCTACTTGAAAAATTATTCATTTTCGTTCATGAAATAGTTTGATTGGCAAGTATATTCATACACATCATGCTTGTTGAGGCGGTACTGACTAATTTACAGCCAATTCCACAATGCTGATTTAGTAAGCTATATTGTACGTCATTCTTTCCATTATTGTCAAGATTACAAGATACTAATTTCGCTTTAAACTGCCCTATGCTTTGTTACGGAAATCCTCATGAAAATGAGATGATGCTCCGTTTGTACAACAGACACAGTGTTCTTAGATCTTTTAAAAGATAACAAATAAACAAATAACAAATGTCAACAAATACATACGCCATCCCTTTTTCTTGGTATAGTAGAGGAACATCTTTTGTTTCCCACCCTTATTTGGCAGCATATTTAATTTCAAAAACCTCACGTTTCCTACCACCAGACTTAGCAGGCCTTTCTAGGCACCTGATCATGCGAATGACCGTTTCCCTCAGCCACTTAATTGACTTGTTGCTACAGCTCTCCAATAAACATCCTGGCGTACTTGCTAAAGTCTACTCAGCCCAAAATTTCATTTGCCGGTGGGCACTCTGCATGCCACTGCGGCAGAGTGACAACACCAGTGGCACCAGG